AGCGATATGCATCATGAGCCCACGGAGTGAACGGGGGACAATGACATACACTTGAATCGGTTTATAGTGATGACAGACTTGCGCAGCATCTATCAAGCTCCCTCTTCTGTCGTCCACCTGGGCCCGGTGATCAGACAGAATCAGGGCACCGCAAGCAAGATCACGTTTAGTAGCTAAACATTCCGTCTACGCGTGCCATACACGTGTTGTTTGCGCACGATGGACCAGGTTTTCATAAAAAATAGAGATAGTTGTCGTAGATCAAGTCTGAGTGGGAGTGTTGCATAAACCATGGAGATGCTCAATGCAAAGACACTTCTAAAAATAAGGTCATTCATAGGGATAGGTAAGGGCTGAAGGTGTCACCCGACGACCGATCGAATAGAACTAGACGTGCAGTCCGGGATGCAGTATCTCCGGCGGATGATGCCAAAAAATCGTACCTTCTTCAATACGAACTGTGGATATCATTCCGTTGTTGGTGTCGGTAGCACAAAGTTTTATATGGCGGGAAGTAGGCTCACCGAAAGAACTGTTAATTAATCTGTACAGTTTGTGAGTCGATAACATTTGCATTATGTATTTGCATTACGTGGCGGCCATGGAATGCCATTCTTGACCTACCTGCAGGAACTTTTTCTCCACATCTTTGAGCTTCTTGCGCAGATCATCCAAGTCCGTCTGATAGCCCTCCACCTCCAGCTGCCGCCGACGTTCCAGATCCCGGTAGTGCTGTCTGCTAAGTTTGAGCTGATTGGTCAGTCTTTCTGTACGCTCCTGGTGAACCTGCTTGGAAGCGTGACTCTCTTCGCGCAGTTGAATAAGTTGGTCTTCCATTTGTAGTACCTAGAAAGAATGGACTGGTTGTTTTGACTTGGTTGCCGTAAGTCTGCCTGGTGGTAACTCTCCCATTCTAAATAATGCACATACTCCGTTTTTTATGCTTTAGTGCCCACGTATAGCTTCGGTCGGCATCTCTTGTGCCAAAAGGAAGTACACACGATCACTGGGACAATAACGTCATTCGGCCGATGTTTTGGACTCTTGCTCGAATCCATCATCAGATACGAATGGTATAGGTATATACCTCTCGAAAGCCGAGTGTTTCCAATACTCAGACCGATCGGAGCACGTTGCCCCCAAATAAACTGCTTTTTTCGCCTGAAGTTCTGGTTTCTTGCTCAGATTTATCTCTTATACCTTCTGTGGTCATCATAGGTAGCAAATTAATCAGCATTGCGCTAAGCTCAAGCAAATGTCATATGTGCAACTATTTCGCAACTGTTTGCAGCGGATACAAAAAGCTGCAACCGAAAAGTACTTACGAATAATGTTAACAATCTTTAGCCCCAAATGCCACGTGGGGTGTCACTGAAGTAGGGATGATTAAAACTGCAACAGACGCAAGTAAACAGGAAAAGGCTTAAACTGGCACGTTCAAATGGATTGGGGCTTTAATCAGGAAAACATTGTTATCTTCTGTTGAACAATTTTGGAATTCCCTACGTCCACCTCCTGTGAATTTCTGTCTGACCTATATGCTATTGGTCCCCTCCCGTTTTTTGTTCTTCACACTGACTGACCTTCAAAACGACACCATGCTTGTATTGTTAACGTGTTTGTGGCGGACTGCCAGCAATGCTGTCCGAACCCCTTGTCCAAAGCCCGCTGCCCCAACTTCATGCGACGTCCTAGGCAGCGCTTTCCGACTCGCTGATCTGAAGAACTTTGATCCAATCCCCCGCGCGCGCGCACTCACGCACACACACGTCCAAAATGGTCGCGGCTGCTAAAGGGCCACTTCAACACATCTTTCGTGGAC